TCTGTGCAAATTCAACTATTATTATAATCTAAAAAAATGTGAAGGTTTTAAAAAATTCCCCCTATATCGATCCCCCCACCCCGTTTTGATGATGAAACACCTTCCTGATTTACAGGTTAGTGTTACAGGCCAATGATCCTTTTAAGGGAGCACTGCATTTTATAATGCTTTATGATGGTAAAAATTTAATTAAGTATAAAACTTATATTGAAAGTTCAGAAACTCCATTTTTACAAAATTTATGTATTTAAAGTCAAACATTTAAAACAGGTGTTGAGAAACAACAGAATACTTAAAGGATATCCAATTACTTGCTATTCAACTTATATGACACATTGTCTTGCTATTTTTTTTATTGTGTATTTATGACTGTGTTAATAGTTCAGTAAATATTTACTAAAAAATTCACTGACCCATAAAGTATAACATTTCCTTTGAAGATAAAATATCATGTCCAGATTATTTAATGCCATTAAAATATCCTCCACTTTGTTAGGGGATTTTGTGCATTCTGAACAGTTGAAATTCATTGTTGTTTTGTATTTAACCCGGTAGATAGGGTTCAAATCTTTCCTTAGTTTGGGAAATAAAAAGCTTCACAGGACATGAATGGGGTGTGTGTGGCCATTCTTTATTTTAAACTTTAAACCTGTGTAGGAAGATGTGTTTAATGCTAGAGGAAGTTTCTTAATTTGTCATTAGTAAATGGCTGATCAGGTTCCAGAAATTAATTTCCTCTTGTGCTACTGCATGGTTAGATGAAGTTAATTATTTGTGGGGACATATGTGATTGATTATATGGAAACTGTCGGTACTGCATGAACATCGATAAATTATTTGTGGGGATAAATTCAACCTCTACAACACCTACAGCAATAGCTCTGAATTCATTTATTCATTTTACTTTAATAGCTAGTATGAAAAATTGTACATTTAACTCAGTAATAACTAATTAACTGTAGCTAGTATGTAAAATTGCTTATTAAACTTTGTAAAAAATGATCTTTGATTTTGATGCATGCATTGTTTATATGCAGGTATACATGTTTGTTTTATATTTTCAGTTGAACCAGAACATGGCTAACATGAACATGGGGGGACCAGGGTATGGGGGAGAGATTGACCTTGAGAACCTCCCTCCCCCTCCCCCCGAGCTTCTTCAGCAGCAATACCTGTACGGGACGGTCCCAGACAGCAGACAGCAAGGAGTGTACAGCCAGTTCGCCCACCCCCAGGGTCAGGCTTCTCACGGCTTTACCCCAGGGACTGGGAACGTGCCCATGCCTCCACCCCAGAAGGCAGGGATAAGCAATATCCCACCAAGCAAGCCTATACAGGTAGGTTTTAGTCGGTAATATGTTATGTTAGTATAAGGAAATGTTTTATGTTAATGAGTTTTAAAAATTATTTTGGACTATGCATTGAAGTAAAAACCAGGAAATTTGGTGACCTTTTCATGAAAAAATATTAAACTTGTTCTTTAAATTTTCTATATTAATTAAGAAGTGTTTTGTATATGAAATGTTTACGTATTCATTGTATTAAAGTATTTCTATGTGTACTATTGTGAGTACATTTCACTCATTGTCATAAAAAGAGAGGGCCATTGTAGAAATAGAATTTATCTTTCTCTCTCTAAAGGTTGAGAAGCGTTCTGTCGGACAGCAGCCTCCGACCGCCCCCTCCACATTTAAACTGGTTCCCGTAAGGACAGAACAAGAGAAGGCTCCCCCACCGGTGGCGCCCTCTACGGCCCCAGCCAGCCAGAAACCCAGTCTGGACCAGATCGACCGCCAGGTGCTACACACAGTGGACGATCACGCCATACAGGTAGGGTAATAAATGACTTCTACATGCTAAATTATGGGAGTGTGAATTCATGAATGGACTGCTGATCAAAAGGTTTTTAAAATTTCCAGCAAAACTGATATATACCGTAAATGTTTATTGAGCAATTTTTTTTTTTTTGCAAAAGTATACTTCTCACAAAATCAAGGGAGAATTAATTAGGGCCCCGCAAGGATTTGCGGGTGCCCTATAGTAATCACTCTGTCCGTCCGTCTGTCCGTCTGTCTGTCTGTCCGTCTGTCACTCTTCCGTCCACAAATTTTCTGTTTTTTTCTAATAACTTTTTTTATGGTTGCCCAATCAGGTTCAAATTTGGTATGGTAGTTCAGTAGGCAGAAATACATATTTTGATGCTAAGTTTGGTTCTCTATGTCTTCTGGTTTGGAGCTGGGGTGGTGGGGTAGATTCCTTAACTATGCTTAAGAATGAACGGGCAACTTTGTTTATGGTTGCCCAATCAAGTACAAATTTGGTATGGTAGTTCAGTAGGCAGAAATACATATTTTGATGCTAAGTTTGGTTCTCTATGTCCCATGGTTTGGAGCTGGGGTGGTGGGGTAGATTCCTTAACTTATATTAGAATGCATTGGCAAAGAGAGATAACTGCTGAAGATGTTCCCATTGTAAACTGAATGCTGATAGAAGTCCCTTGGGATTAATTAGCTTTCCTCCTGAAGAAAATCCAGAGCATTATCTTTATCTGTCACATTGAGATTAATTACCACTTCTGTCTGCAAATGAAGTTTGTTTTGAAGTTAAATCAATTTGGAATGCTATGAACACTCTGAAATGTGGAATTAAATATAAATTTTTATTATTTATTTTTGTTTGATAGTTATGATTTCATTGAATTCTAAAAAAAAGAAATAGATTAAAGAAGATTTTTTGATTTACTTTTTTTCACTTTTTTCACTTTTTAATGAATATATTAATTCAAGAATATTATTAATTTTTAATGTAGTTGTATAAAAACCCCATTCTATCATTAATACTGAAAAAAGTTCTTATTGTAAATTTAGAAGAAAATGATGAGAGAGGTACAATTAATCCCTTGGGATTAATTATCTAGCCTGCTGCAGAAAATTTAGTAGGCTTTTCTTTGTCACTTTAAGATTAATGAAAACCTTTGTCTGCAACTGCTGTTTGTTTGAAGATAAGGTCAAGCCTTCATGATATTTGCATTCATTGAAGGCTGGCATTTCATATAACACAAGCTTCATAATTGTTTAAATATACATTCAGTGTTAAGTTGTTCTTTAATGCCTAATGTAAATACAAGGATATTATTCTCAGGTTTTTGAATATTCAGGAATTATCTTGAAATTTTAAGAATACAGTTGCTGTTGCTTATTCTTCGTACATTTTTTTAATCATTCCTTAAGCTGCACCCTTTTAATTCTACCCCATGGCGGGGCCCTTGCTGACTGGTCAGTTTTCTAGTTCCTTTAGTATATTTAGGAATCAATAGTATATTTCAATGTTCTGTTTTATTTATTAATAGGTATCCAAAAGTGAACATCCCAGTTTCAGGGAATTGGTTTGGGATTTGATCTTCTCCAAAGACATCACAAATGAAATCGAAAAAGTCAGGTAAGCTAACCATCAGACTAAAGTCAAGGTGCTGCTTCTATTTTAGTCCATATTCTCATTTAATATGGAAATGCAAAACTAGCACAATCTCAGTATCTAAAAAAAAAGGGCAGACAAATGTAGAATGATTTCTGTTTTATCAGCACAAAGTTTTGGACAGATTTAATGACTTAGAGGTAGAAAAGAAGATAAAAGAATCAATTTTTTAAATGGAATGGTTCAATGACTCTTCACAAGAAAAAAATAGTTACATATAAACTAACACCCATTTAGATTTCACAGGAAATTTTACACTTAGTTTAACATAAGCTCATGGAAAAGATTCTTTTCTTAAATGGTTGAAAGAAACTTTCTAAATAAATGAATTTATGCATTGTACATGTATTGTTTAGAAACTGTTCCTGAAAATGAGTACACCTCATTACCTCATTATGGCTAAGAATAGGCTAGTTTTTATCCTTTTAAAAGTTTTTTTTTCTGTACTAACACTGCTCTGGTTTGATATTGCAGAGTCATTTTCCGATGGTTAGCCACAAAGAATTTAAAGGAGATAAACTTTGACAAGGTGGAGAAAGGAAGTCCTGAAGAGGTATTGCTGGGACTCAAAGAGGGGAAAACCACATACGCAATGGTGTTTGATACAATGTGCAAGTAAGTGAAACTACCTACGCAATGGTGTTTGATACAATGTACAAGTGAGTAAAACCGCCTATGCAATGGTGTTTGATACAATGTGCAAGTAAGTAAAACCACATACGTAATGGTGTTTATACAGTGTGCAAGCAGGTTCAACTCTTATTCATGTATGTCATCTCCCCAACCAGTTGAGATGTCTATGTAGCATAAACTTCATTTTTACATCAGAAAGAGTAAAAATTTTCATCCTCTGCGGCATTGTTAAATATAAAATATTTTATAGATGCTTTTAATATAAACACAGAATTACAACCATTGTCAGCAGAGAGAAAAAAACTGTGAACTTGATTTTAATATAAGATGGAACATGGTCATTTTAATTAGATAAATGCAAATAATGTTTTTTTTTTTGTTTTTTAGTTTTGCTGGATTGCACTCCCGGATCATCAGTGGTTATGCTAAAGGGGCTGACTACAAACCAGGCATGAAGTTCACCCCTGGCACAAACCAGCACTCCTGGAACGCGGTGTACATCTACGGTACATGGTGTCTGGTGGACGCCCATTGGGCGGCCAGGAGGATCATCGGAAAACCCACCTCCCAGGAGGAGTTCCATTACCAGCTGGACGAATACTTCTTTCTCCCCGACCCCCACCAGCTTATCTATACCCACTTCCCAGACGACCCCCAGTGGCAGCTTCTGGAAAGGCCCATCACCCTAGAGGAATTCGAGAACATGCCCCACATGAAACCCCAATTTTTCAAATATGGACTAGAGTTTGTGAGTCACCGTACAGCGGTGATTTATGGACGCGGTGAATTGAATGTACGATTGAGGTACCCCGCTCACAAGCTGGCTGTTGCCTTCAACTTCACTGTGCAATTCGAGAATGGCGATGAAGAGTACAAAGGGGTAAAATTGAATCGGTTCGGCATGCAGGAGAGCGTAGGGGGCATTGCTTCCTTCCGCCTCAGGTTACCAGTGAAGGGATCTTACATTCTCTACATCTACGCCAAAGAAGACACACCTGAAAACAAGGACAATGTTTACGCTCAAGTCTGTGAATACAAAATTGTCCAAGAAGAGGTTTCAGTGCCTGAGCCCCTCCCCTTCCCACCCTGTGCTTACCTTAACTGGGGTCCTGGCACGTCTTTCTACAGGTATGGTCTGGCCACCTACCAGCAGACGGCTCAGATTCTCACAAGGGACGGAAAAGCCGAATTACAGATCCGAATTCCCCGGCAGATGCAGTTCATGGCAAAATTAAAGCACAATGACCGTAGTGATGCTGACCTGGAAGGATATGTGATTCATAGAATTGTCGGAAACACTGTGTATTTTAACATCACTGCACCAAGTCGCGGTGAATTTGGACTAGAAATTTACGCCAATGACCCCACAACAGAAGGTTCAACTCTGTACCATGTGGCCCAGTATCTGGTGGAATGTAATGAAGATGTGAAAACGGTTCCTCTACCCAAGCTGCCTGCAGGTTACTTAGGAGCACAACCTAAATTCAATGACTTTGGCCTGAATACATTGAGTCATCATATCCCAGTCATTCACCTTGAAACCAACTCAGTAGAAATTCAGTTTTCAACTGCCCAGGAAATGAGAGTAACGGCCAATCTGATAGAAGTTGAAAGCGACCGAGAGATGCCCGAATTTGTTTTCACCCAGACGAAAGGCTCCGTGGTCAGTTTCCTGGTTAACATGCCAACTGTAGGGTTCTACAAGTTACAACTCTATGCCATCCCCATCAATGACCCCAACCAACAACTACCAGGGGTTTACAATTATCTAATCAACTGCCAGAGGAAAACTAAGGAGGTCTACCCTTTCCCTAAGCAGTACGCTCAATGGAAAGAAGGATGCTACATGTGGGAGCCCCTGGTGGTGCACAAGGATATTGGAAAACCCGTCGTCAACTTCCACGTTCAGATTCCACGGGCCGAGGCCGTTGCCGTGGTGACTGACCAGGAGTGGACCCATCTTCAGTCTCCGCAGTCAGGAATTTGGCAAGGGGAGGTCAATCTGGCACCTTACTACGGTAAAGGAATCAAGTTCACCTTGAATGCCAACTTTGGCGGCGATAAAACTAGTTATGCAACACTGCTTGAATATGCGATTTAGTTAGATATGTGTTAATGAATTATAGAATATTAATTTTTTTCCTTGTGATTATTTATGTTAATCAAATATTTTTTTTGCAAGCATAATGATTAGTACACCTGCTTTAACAAATATGTATATAATATATTTCTTTCTCAGTTTTTAGAAAAGCTTTTGAAATCAATATGCATGTACATGACATTTATGTTTGTGTTGAAATCGATGCCTTAATTGCAGTTCATGGTTATAAAATCAAACAGCTGATATGACTGATTTAACTCTAGGAAATATATGATATTGTATTTTTAAACAAATTTATCATTATCATATCTGTGAACCATAACATTTTACACAGTTATTGATGATAGATTTGACTTTGCATGATCATTTTATTTTGGGGGATCAATTCTTGTTTTCATTTTCTTGTTGTAGATGTTAAGTTGCGTCATTTATTTCATTTATTTTTTTGCTAGGCTGATATCTATTTTGTTAAAAAATTTTATAGCTTGTTAAACAAGTGCTTTAATGTGTTGTATAAATGTACATGTAGTGTTTTATTGTTAATATAATAAATCATTGAACCAAGGGACAGAACAATGTATGAATCTTTAAGTGTATGAACTTCACAATGAAAATAGAAATCATTTTATTTTAGTTTTTTTTTTTAAATTGGAACGCTGTTTAAGAGATATGTGTTGTGTTGATGTTTAGAAAACTTTTATTTTAAGAGCATGGTAGAAGTCTACAGAATTTGTTCCTTTGTCTTAGTGCAATCACTGTTTTGTATGTTTAGCCACAAATTCAGTACATCTTGTTAAAGACCATTCACCATAAGATTCTGGATATCGCACTATTTTTACACTAGTCATTTAGCAAGTTTACCAATTTTGGCACAGAATATATTTGTGAAATATATTCACGTTTTTACATGTGCATTTATGTGCTGCAGTTTTGGAATTTGTTCTCAACTCCTGATCTTTTTTAAATTGACATTTAGATGAATAAAAGTGTGCCTAGATTTAGAGCATACTATTACATCAATTCTTTATTTGTATAGAAATTGCTCTTTCATTAAGTATTGATTTTGTGAGAACATTGCTCTTGATTTTCCCCCCAAATTTTTATCTGTATACTATTTGATTATGCTGAGACCTGGATGTGTTCAAATAATGCTTCCCATCTGGAAACAAAAATGAATGAGTACTTAAAATCTAAAAACAAAGTCTACAATTATTTCATACCTTCCAAATCATTTATAATTATTGTGACGTTTTGGATGTATATACAACTTGATAGTCGTATAGTTATGGCATTATTTACACCAAAAAAATTTCATATGAAGCAATATACATGTATTAAACATGGCTTTTTCATTTCTCTTTATACAACTGTTGTAAAGTTGTTAGTAGATATAAAGTGCTAGGAGAGTTGAATCTTGAACAATCTGTGTCTTTTTATAAAGCTTTATAGAATAGTTTATAAATCTAAGCACAATAAAGCCAAGCTTATAAATATTGTATCTCTGTTATTATTTTGAAGAGAAGAAGAAACTTTCATACAATTTTGAATGATCTTGAATTTTTTAATGCCAGACCACTATATATTGCTCTTATAGTGTTTGGAATGTCCATCTTCCGATCAATTCCAGATAAAGTCTTCTTTCAATGATATCTAACAATTCAACTACACTGAATTTGCATGAAAATGATTGCTCTTTACTGGTTGTGAAATATGTGTGAATGACATCCGAGTATAGGATCCATTCCCGGGGATGGAAGAAAGATGCTATAATTTCAGCATATATGTTAATTACCCCGAACTGAACCCTATTAGTCATGTGTTAGTGCAATATTGAAGTTAAAAGAGAAAGCAACTATTTTTTCAAAATCTAAAAAAAAAAACATGCAAAATTGTCCCTATCTGTATCTGCTGTAACCATTTTGGAAATATTTTAGATATAAAAACAATTCATGTAAAGCAGTTCGAAATATTTTTGCAGTTTCTCACAGCCCAGAATATTGATAATGTTTGTCAAATCGATCCCACTTCTTTGATTGCAAAAATCGGTCTGAAATGGCGCAAATAGTAGTTCTTAACAATTCTGAAAAAGATTGGCGTAGATGTAATACGGAGAGAAAGTAAGATTTTAGAGTTTTAATACTGTATTTCCGTTGTTTCCATGACAATTGTAGATTGCTTATGTATCCTCTTGTAGAATTTTCTTCAAGTAAACTTGGTGAGTTTCATCTTTGTAAATGTGTTGCTACCACATCGTATGGAACTGAATAATAATTATAAATAACAAAAAAAAAAAAAAAAAAAAAAAAAAATATAGAGTTCAAAAGTTTACTTTACTTAGAATTTTTGAAACGAGGAAACAACGGAGCACTAGGACACTCTAAATGGGTGTTTCATGCACAGTTTGAATATTTCTGACGAGGAACCTCTAATGCTGATCGCTGACGGGATGGGCTTTCCAAGTTTATACTCATTCCTATGGTGGCATATTTCTGCCCCTTGTGTGCAAGTTATTTTTCTATCAAATATGTCAACATGCAACATAAATATGTTGACATGCAAGAAAATTGCAATCAAATAAGTATTATAAAAAAAATCCTCAAAAATCTCAAATATCGCCCACATGTGACATTCAACATGCTAGATGCTACTTATTTATGTTATTTAAGATAAATAAGATTATTATTTAAGATAAATATGTTGACATGCAACTTATTTATGTTGACATGCAACTTATTTATGCTGACATGCAACTTATTTATGTTGACATGCAAGATAAATATGTCGACAAGCAACTTATTTATGTTGGCATGCAACTTAGTTATGTTGACATGCGAGATAAATATGTTGACATGCAACTTATTTATGTAAACATGCGACATATTTATGTCGACATGCAACTTATAAGTTGCATGTCAACATATTTATCTTGCATGTCAATATAACCAAGTTGCATATCAACATAAATAAGTTGCATGTTAACATATATAAGTTGCATGTCGACATAAATAAGTTGCATGTCAACATTATTTATCTTGCATGTTAACATAAATAAGTAGCATTTAGCATGTTGGATGTCACATGTGGACAATATTTGAGATTTATGAAGATTTTTTATGATTTTTATTTTATTGCAATTTCTTGCATGTCAACATATTTATGTTGCATGTTGACATATCTATCTTGCATGTCGACATATTTGATAGAAAAATAACTTGCACACAAAGGGCAGAAATATGCCACCATACATTCCTGATCACTGACAGAATGGGTATTTTTTTGGGGGGGGGGGGCGAAAGTTCCGAAAGACGCTAGAAAGTTGGAATATTAAATTTTGTCCGCCATGCTAGCCTCAAGATCTGTCTCCGACGACGACATTTTGGAAATTTCACACTGAAGAAATTGAGTCAAAGGGGAAAAAAGATCCAAATGATTAAAAGCTAAAGAAAAAAAACACAAAATAAGATCACCGGTCTTTTCTCTTTGGGTCCATTTAAGATATCATAATTAATTTCCCCTTTGTTAACATAAATATTATCAGGAAGTTTTAATTAGTTTCATTCAGCAGTATGGTTGACGCATTTCTCCAGCCTCTCGTTCTCCTTATGAGCCACTTCGATCTCTTTCTGAATACGGGCTTCCTCTCCATTCTGCAGAAGGATAAAACGTACGCTCAACTAGGACCTCGGGTCCCCCGCAAATAGTTCGTCATTTTCCGTAGTAATAACACATTTTAGGAACTCTTCAGGCAATAAAGGCACAAAAGTAAATTCATCGATATCAATACAGAGACCTCAGGTCACCTTATATATTGATTGAATTTTATATAATAGACAGTTTTCTTTGTCTTACTCCAAAATAATCTTATAACTTTATACAGATATACTTTCTAATATATATATAAGCAGAAATGTTAAAGTAATTAGGGGGACAAAAACTAACCTGATATTATACATCAGTGGGGAGACCAGAGGTCACCTTATATTGTACATCATTAGAGGTATCCCAGGTCACCTTACATTTTAAATTAATAAGGGCCCAAAGGTAACCTTATATTGTACATCCTTTGAGGGTCACCTTATATTGAAAATCAGTAGAGGGACTAGAGGTCACCTTATATTGTACATCAAAATGGGGGACCAGAGGTCACCTTATATTGTACATCAGTGGGGGGACCAGAGGTCACCTTATATTGTACATCAGTAGGGGGACCAGAGGTCACCTTATACTGTACATCAGTAGGGGGACTAGAGGTCACCTTATATTGTACATCATTAGGGGGACCAGAGGTCACCTTATATTGAGCATCAGTAGGGGGACCAGAGGACATCTTATATTGTACATCAATAAGGAGACCAGAGATCACCTTATATTGTTCATCAATAGGGGAACCAGAGGTAACCTTATATCGGACAACATTAAGGAGACCAGAGGTCACCTTATATTGTACATCATTAGGGGGACTAAAGGCCTCTTATATTGAAAATCAGTAGGGGGACCAGAGGACACCTTATATTGAACACCAATAAGGAGACCTGAGGTCACCTTATATTGTACATCAGTAGGGGGACAAGAGGTCACCTTATATTGAACATCAATATTGGGGACTAGAAGTCACCTTATATTGTACATTAATAGGGGGACAAGAGGTCACCTGATACTGTACATCAATAAGGAGACCAGAGGTCACTTTATATTGTACATAAGTAGGGTGACCGCAGGTAGCCTTATAATGTACATCAGTAAGTGAGTCAGAGCTTACCTTATATTGAAAATCAGTAGGTGGACTAAAGGTCACCTTATATTGAACATCAATAAGGGGGACTAGAGGTCACCTTATATTGTAAATCAGTAGGGGACCAGGGGTTATATTAAATTGTTTATCAGTAGGGAGACCAGAGGTCACCTTATATTGTACATCAATAAGGGGGACTAGAGGTCACCTTATATTGTACATCAATAAGGAGACCAGAGGTCACTTAATATTGTACATACGTAGGGTGACCAGATGTAACCTTATAATGTAAATCAGTAAGTGGATCAGAGGTTACCTTATATTGAAAATCAGTAGGGGGACAGAGGTCACCTTATATTGTACATCAAAAAGGGGGACTAGAGGTCACCTTATATTGTACATCAGTAGGTTGACCAGAGGACACCTTATATTGTACATCAGTAGGGGGACCAGGGGTCACCTTATAATGTACATTAGTAGTGGGTCCAGAGGTCACTTTATATTGTACATCAGTAGGGGGACTAGAAGTCACCTTATATTGTACATCAGTAGGGGGATCAGAGGTAACCTTATATTGTACATCAGAAGGGAGACCAGAGGTCACCTTATATTGAACATCAAGAAGGGGGACTAGAGGTCAACTTATACTGTACATCAGTAGGGGGACTAGAGGTCACCTTATATTGTACATCATTAGAGGGACCAGAGGTCACCTTATATTGAGCATCAGTAGGGGGACCAGAGGACATCTTATATTGTACATCAATAAGGAGACCAGAGATCACCTTATATTGTTCATCAATAGGGAAACCAGAGGTAACCTTATATCGGACAACATTAAGGAGACCAGAGGTCACCTTATATTGTACATCATTAGGGGGACTAAAGGTCTCTTATATTGTAAATCAGTAGGGGGACCAGAGGACACCTTATATTGAACACCAATAAGGAGACCTGAGGTCACCTTATATTGTACATCAGTAGGGGGACAAGAGGTCATCTTATATTGAACATCAATATTGGGGACTAGAGGTCACCTTATATTGTACATTAATAGGGGGACAAGAGGTCACCTGATACTGTACATCAATAAGGAGACCAGAGGTCACTTTATATTGTACATAAGTAGGGTGACCGCAGGTAGCCTTATAATGTACATCAGTAAGTGAGTCAGAGCTTACCTTATATTGAAAATCAGTAGGTGGACTAAAGGTCACCTTATATTGAACATCAATAAGGGGGACTAGAGGTCACCTTATATTGTAAATCAGTAGGGGACCAGGGGTTATATTAAATTGTTTATCAGTAGGGAGATCAGAGGTCACCTTATATTGTACATCAATAAGGGGGACTAGAGGTCACCTTATATTGTACATCAATAAGGAGACCAGAGGTCACTTAATATTGTACATACGTAGGGTGACCAGATGTAACATTATAATATAAATCAGTAAGTGGATCAGAGATTACCTTATATTGAAAATCAGTAGGGGGACTAGAGGTCACTTTATATTGTACATCAAAAAGGGGGACTAGAGGTCACCTTATATTGTACATCAGTAGGTTGACCAGAGGACACCTTATATTGTACATCAGTAGGGGGACCAGGGGTCACTTTATAATGTACATTAGTAGTGGGTCCAGAGGTCACTTTATATTGTACATCAGTAGGGGGACTAGAAGTCACCTTATATTGTACATCAGTAGGGGGATCAGAGGTAACCTTATATTGTACATCAGAAGGGAGACCAGAGGTCACCTTAT